TCTTGCATTGTTGTGTCTGGGCGAGATTGGGAGAAGGAAAGATCTAAGCTCACATGTGCATATAGAGACTATCATCATTGAGTCATTCCAATCTCCTTTTGAAGAAATAAAATCTGCAGCCTCTTATGCTCTTGGCAATATTGCTGTCGGTAATCTATCCAAGTATTTACCTTTTATCTTGGACCAGATTGATAATCAGCAGAAGAAACAGTACCTCTTGCTTCATTCGCTCAAGGAGGTATGTGTAATTGAATTATATATTTGAACTGCATTTTGATATAATTCTTTCTCATGTTTGATTTTTACCATTCTGCAGGTAATAGTAAGGCAATCTGTTGATAAAGCAGAGTTCCAGGATTCGAGTGTTGAGAAGATACTTAATTTGCTATTCAATCACTGTGAAAGTGAAGAAGAGGGGGTACGCAACGTAGTAGCCGAGTGCCTAGGTAAAATTGCGCTAATTGAACCAGCAAAACTTGTTCCAGCACTTAAGGTAACTTGTTTACATGGTGATGCATTCAATTAATGTTGTGCAGTTCTTTTTAATAATATATTTTGACATCTCTAGGTAAGGACAACTAGCTCAGCTGCATTTACTAGAGCAACGGTGGTTATTGCTGTAAAATATTCTATAGTTGAGCGGCCAGAGAAGATAGATGAAATTATATACCCTGTCATCTCTTCGTTTCTTATGCTTATAAAAGATAGTGACAGGGTAAGTCCTTAAAGACTTGATGCTCCACAAGAAAAAAAATCAGTTTTTGCCTATGTTTCCTGTAGTTCTAGTTTTTTTTTTTTTTTTTTTTTTGTTTTTTCACAAGCTGATATGGTCATGCAGCATGTTAGGCGGGCAGCTGTTCTCGCTCTGAGTACATTTGCACATAATAAGCCTAACCTTATTAAAGGCATTCTTCCAGAATTGTTGCCACTTCTTTATGACCAAACAATGGTTAAGGTAACTTCAGAGACTTTTCGAGCCTCGAGAAAATTTAAATGATGCTGATGCTATAGTTGCTGGTACTGTTTGGTTCTCATCTGGTTGCCATTGCCAGTTTAACGATCTTATTTCTTGATGCCCTTGGAACTTTTCTTGCATCTCTTATATTTAGACTGTATTTTTGATTTTGACTGGCATTACCTAATGGAACCATAAAATCAGTTTCCTCTCTCTTGTAGTTTTTTCTCTTTCATTTTTGCTTCTATCAGATTATATTAGCCACTTTTATTTGTTTATGTTATTCTTTTCCAAAATGAGTTTGGTTTTGATTTTGTATAGCCTTTAAACTGTCTATTATTTGCATCCTTCAATTAATTTTTTTAATCTTACTTTTTCCAATTCTATGTTTGGGCATTTTGCAGCAAGAATTGATCAGAACAGTTGATCTTGGTCCCTTCAAGCACATTGTAGATGATGGTCTTGAACTGAGAAAGGCAGCTTTTGAGTGCGTTGACACATTACTGGACAGTTGCCTCGACCAAGTGAATCCATCATCTTTTATTGTTCCATACCTGAAATCTGGACTGGATGGTTAGTTCATATTGCCACTCTCTTATATTGTTATTTCCTTGAGTTTTGGGTGCGGTTTAATCTACTACACAAATAGATTAAAGGCTGTGTGGTGTTCAAATGATGATTGTTTTTCCTAATGGAAAGGGTGTTCTATTTTTTCTTCTCTTAGTTGTGGAATGGGTGAGGGGGTGGTACATGGAAGAGTGCATATCTGAAAATTGCAACCTGTTATTGTGTTATGGTGATTCATTATGGGGAATCTGGGTTTGCACTATTCAGGATTTGTTGAGAATTCTGGGTGGGACTTGCAGTTTATTTTTCCAACCTTTCATCTGATTAAAAATTTTGGCTTTTCCAGATCATTATGATGTTAAAATGCCTTGTCATCTAATCCTCTCAAAATTGGCGGATAAATGCCCATCTGCTGTACTAGCAGGTTAGTGCTATACTGAAACTTTGTTATTGAGTTCAAGAAATATCTTATCTTCAATATATTACTGTAATCTCCAGTGTTGGATTCGTTGGTGGATCCTCTGCAAAAGACAATCAATTTTAAGCCTAAGCAGGATGCTGTCAAGCAAGAAGTAGATCGCAATGAAGACATGATTCGAAGTGCTCTGCGGGCAATTGCATCCTTGAATCGCATAAGGTTTGGCTCTCATATCGACAAACTTGGAATTTCTCTATGTGATACAGAAGAAAGAGAGATTGAGCATATAATACCTAGAAAAGTTAACAAAGACCCAAAGTAGAGATCTTGACCTCGATTATCAAAAAATGAATAATTCAATATTTTTTGTATAAAAATCATAGAAGTTTGAATAACAACTAAGCAAGCGTAATCTTTACAGAGGCACCAAGCATAACCAAATAAGAAAATTAAGTCTACCTAGGAAATCTACCAAATTGGAAAAATATATTAATTAATCAAAGAACGCGTAGCAGTAAGAACATAATTAGATTAGAAATAATAAGGTCATACCAATTACTAGCCTATTCTTAATAGTTACTGATAAGCTAATTACCCCCTAAACACATATTTCTTAATATTGTAATGTCCAATCTTGAATTTTCCATTTCTTCACTTCTCTCTCTTTCTCTCTCTCCCCCCTCCGCCAAAGTTCCTGATTCGATAATTTCTGAATACTCAGGGGATTTATGGCCTTACATATCAATTATCCTTTTTGTAGTGGCGGAGACTGCAGTATTAAATTCAAGAACCTAATGAATGAAATTCAGAAGTCTCCAACACTGTGGGACAAGTATTATTCCATCCGGAACGAGTGATGGACATACTGAGCACTGGCAGTTACGACGTGCTAATTCGACATTTGCAAGGAA